AAATAATGACCCGTCTTGAGTTCGAACGAGGTCGAACCTCTGAATATTTGATGGCGAAGGCCCTTAGCCTTAAGGGTGCTATTTCGGACTTGTCGAAATAACGACCCGTCTTGAGTTCGAACGAGGCCTCTGAATATTTGATGGCGAAGGCCCTTAGCCTTAAGGGTGTTATTTCGAACTTGTCAAAATAACGACCCGTCTTGAGTTCGAACGAGGTCGAACCTCTGAATATTTGATGGCGAAGGCCCTTAGCCTTAAGGGTGTTGCTTCGAACTTATCGAAATAACGACCCGTCTTGAGTTCGAACGAGGTCGAACATTTAAATACTTGATGGCAAAGGCCCTTAGCCTTAAGGGCGTTATTTCGAACTTGTCGTAATAACGACCCGTCTTGGGTTCGAGCGAGGTCGAACCTTTGAATATTTGATGGCGAAGGCCCTTAGCCTTAAGGGTGTTGCTTCGAGCTTATCGAAATAACGACCCGTCTTGAGTTCGAACGAGGTCGAACCTTTGAATATTTGACGGCGAAGGCCCTTAGCCTTAAGGGCGTTGCTTCGAACTTATCGAAATAACGACCCGTCTTGAGTTCGAACGAGGTCGAACCTTTGAATATTTGATGGCGAAGGCCCTTAGCCTTAAGGGCGTTATTTCGAACTTGTCGAAATAACGACCCGTCTTTGGTTCGAGCGAGGTGGAACCTTTGAATATTTGATGGCGAAGGCCCTTAGCATTAAGGGTGTTGCTTCGAACTTGCCGAAATAACGACCCATCTTGTCTTTTTTGGAAGGGTAAGCCGGGCGACAGGGAACGTTGGCAGAGCACAGAATTTCTGCTTCCTAGCTTAGCCCGAACGACTTGTCGCCATGATAGCACGAGCCACTGCGCTGTTTGGATGCGTGCCTTGGCTCCGTACGACAAGGCGTCGCAACTTGCACCTCATATCTGGCAACCACTATTTTTGGAAGGAACACCACCAAACATAGGATAATATATAGAATAACCTGTTAACCACTGTTGGTCACCGGAGGGTGTTGGGTGTTCCCTGGGGGAGTCCCTGTTTCGTAATCATTGCCCGCATCGACGGTTTCAACGCTGTGGGCATTGGACGCCGATATTTCGGCTGGACCCTCACGATATGCATGTTACAGCTTTTCGCATAACTGACTGTTCATTTTGAAGACGCCATCGATCGGAGGGATTTTGGATGTACTACGGCAATTCTTGGTTCTTCTACCGGAGCACTCCTGCATCGGCGTCTGATTTATCGGATTGCGAGGGATGAGGATAGGATGTTCTTTATCCCTGCCTGTTGATTTTGATCGCAGCATCTTTAGCCTTGTTCGGGATGTTTTGGGGCCGGTAAGGTATGGATTTCTAGACCTTATTGGTCCGCTCGATCCCCCTCCTCCCCATGTGTTACCTTCAAATTCGACGTGAGTTGGACGTTCCTCTCACGTTTCTTTTGCTTCGATCCGAAGATAGAACTAGGTGTTTTCACTAGGAAATCCCCACAGATGGCGCCAAATTGTTTGGCTCAAAAGAAGTTAAACTCATTTTAAGCAAATCAATCAAAGAGATGAATGGGTAAATCATAGTCAATCATAATTCATATCGGATCTAAAGATAAAGAAATGGCAATTAAATACAAAAATGGAAGAAGCATCGAAAATGTTTTATTCATGATGAAACTTTGCCCTGCCCCCTCCTTGGAGGGGAAGGGAGTTACAATTGTTGTGTTTTTCTCTCTTCCTCCCTCTCCCTCTCTAGATGGAGCTCCCTTTTTCTTCGGGTGGAGTTTTGTTATCTGTTCTCTGACTTCTTGGAGTTTTTTTGGAGAAGAAGTCGGTCTCCTCCCCCTTTTCTGGGTTCCCTTCACTTCATATTTATAGTCCAAAGGAAAGTGCTTTTTCCTTAAACATAACTTGTCTTGTCAGAATTGTGGAAGCCTACTGGTCGGGGTGAGGGGCGTACCCTCGTCCCTTGTGTAGAATGTCGTGGTGATTGAGTCAGAATGGTTCCGTTGACTTCTTTCATATGGTGACTAAAACAGGGTCGTGGTCGCCCCGGTCGGGGGTGGTCAGATTTCTGACCAATACAGATAGGAAGTGAAGAACCTTTGGATTTAGGCAACACTTTTCTAGGCTATGTTTCACTTAATTCGGTTTTGTCAAAGGTAGTCGAGGATATGCTTTTGAGTCCTAATGACTGGATTCAGTTTGAGTTTGGTATTGGTACCTGTCGTTTTTGTAAGCTTACGCTGATAAGAGGTTTAGGGGTACGTCTTGTGTACTAGAATGATATCAATGATCCAGAATAGTACCTCTCAATCTGGAAAGTTGGGCAACACTTTTAAAGTTTTATAAAGGTAAAAGGTCCTAATTTGCTCCAGTGGCGGCTCAAGGCCAAAACAACTAAAGCAAAAGCTTTAGCCCCCCCCCC